TAAAATAACACATTTAATTTTTGAATATTTAGAATTTTACAAGAGCACTAAATATTAAATATCATGACTATAAAATAATGATTACAAAAATTGTAAACTTCATTGCAGTATTTCATCATATGTATTTGTTCATGTACTGCATTGTAACAAGGATGCATGACTTCAATAATTTTATTTTTTATTATGGCAAAATTTGAAACACTTTAATGCAACCCTATAAAATGCTATGGTATTACTCAAGTAATTGGAGTACATGATTTGATGTCAAATTGTTTCTCAAAGGCCACATTTATGCTTTTCATTTTATGTGTTTAGATGCAGGCTCTATTGAGCTAGTTGAAGATGTCTCCCAAGATGTAAGTTTAGAAAATGTTTTAAGAAGATAACAAATTATAACAGAGGGAAATCCTCCACTAGGTATTGATTTTTGTTTTCAGTACTGGATTTGTTATCAGTGCTATTTTTATTTAAAGAACAAAATATCAATAGTCATCATTTTATTACATAACTTTATAACATCTGTTACGAATCCAGCTGATTTTCCTTAGTCTTTTAGAGTCTCCAAATTTGAATGCATGTGATTATATTTTAAGCAAAACAGAAAAAATGCTTTTGTGAGAAATTAGTATTTTGATTGTTTTAGGATAACAAAAACCTGCAATTTATTGTAATTCAAAGAAGACTTCAAACTATGTAATAAAGCTGAGAATATTTGTCTTTTCAATAGGTGTTTGCCAAATGATTGTTTATAAAATTGTTTTCATTAAAATCAGGTTAAGAAGTTTCAACAGATGCTCTTCCAGAAAACATAAATTAGGTCTACAAATTTACTTTTATCAAAGCTTACAGAGAAAAAATAAATTAATCTGCATCTTAACAGTAATTCATCAATGTGTCCTCTTAAAGGACTCCTACTTTTAGAAAATTTGAGTTTAGACAAGAAGAGGTAGTGAAAACACTTTAAAGTTTCAGAATCTTGCTTTGGGATGGGTAAAGTCTGTGATGGCTTATGACAGGAACCCAGTGGCGTACTGTTGACATTTTCATAGTAATTATAGCTCAAAACTTGACTGCTCAGAAGAGCAAAAACGTGTTACATATGACACGTCGAATCTTTGCTAATATTCTTTTTTCTTCTATCAGAGCTTAAATTTGGTGCAAAAAGTAACAATGCTATAAAATAAATGAAGGTTTAAACACAAAAATTAATTTAAAAGCTTGGTTACAAATTAGGATTAATTTGTGCTCTATAAATAATATGCTTTACAATAAAAACTGCAAGAAAAACATAAGACTGAATTTTGTTTTACTAATGAAGAGACTTCTCCTAGGTCTTGAGATCTATATTCACTTCTATGCTTGATCAGAAGACTTGCAGTTACAACTGTATAGGAATTTGTTATGAATATTCCCTGCATACTGTTAAGAGTGAAAGGCACAGAGGTCTTAGAAACATGCCTCTTTCTACTGCTATTTCTGCCTTTCAGGAAGTGCTGGAGGGGTCACAAAAAAAGGGGGTTGCATTTAACTGTGAAAATCACGCAAGGGGTTGTGAAGGGTGAATATAAAATGGGCCATGAGAAATGAAAAGAATGTCAGGAAATAGCAGAATAAAGGCCTTCCATTATAGGGAAAGGGCTCACTGCAAGGCAGCTACAGAGAAAGAAAAAGGAAATACAGTAAGGATGGATGATAACCCCACATGATTGCTGTGAAGAATGAGTAAAAGAGAAACTCGGGATGCAAAAACAAGTATGGCTTGCAGGCAGGGAGTACAGAGCTACTAGACTTGGCAATTCACTGCTAAAAATCTGGATCAGAAGCACTGGTAAGATTTGTCTGTCATCAGAAAGATCCTGGCTACCTACCATACAGGTCCCACTGTGGAATTATCTTCCTGAATTTGCCAATATCCAAATCTGGCCCTCAACCATAAAGGTTTAGAAACTTGTTTCTGTGGGCACAATACACATGTCAAAAGTATAGTACATTCTGTCCCTGAGGCTAAGCTACTCTAAAATCAGAATTTTTTGAATGAACATGGAATTAGAAAAAGGAATTATTTTGACCTCCACATGTTATGTAGAGCTATAGACCAGCCTTGGAACAAATCACTCGCATTCCTAGGTACTGCCAAAGCTTCCCTAGCTGAATTATTTTCCTTTGTTTTATTTCAGACTCCTCGTGATAAGCTGTCTTCCTCTAAGCATATGTTACAGAATTCTAAAGCTTATATTAACCCTACCAGACTAAGGAGTCGTTATACTCTCCCTTTAACATGACGGTGCACATCGATGAACTGGGTCAGTAGGTAACTATTGCAATGTCTCCACCAAAGGCGACCCTATTCACGAGAGTTTGGAAAGCTACTGATTCGCATTTATATGAGGTCATATGGTGCAATAAACTAAAGGGTGAAGGACACGTTTTGAACAGAAGAACAAGATGAGAGATACAATTTGGGGGAAATCAACTGATCAATAAGACATTTAGATGCTTACCAGCAGGAAAAAGCTAGAAAGCATAAAGGTCATCTATTAAATTAGCACACTAAGCAATATCAATATCAATATCACTCAAGGAAGTGAAGAATCTTGGACTTTACAAAGTTGCAAAGACCCTGACAAAACTTAAAAGTGATTAGACCAGGAACAGCTGGAAAAACAAGCACCCAAGATACCTTCAATAAGAAATTTCCTGTAATAGTCAGAACGTTGACAAAATCATTACAAAATTTAAAGATACTGTCTCTAGAGATAACTACACTGCATAATTTACTTTTAACCATATTTTAAATAATTACAGCCGAAAACCTTGAATTCTCTGAACACAGTATATATTTTGTGTAAGCAAACATTTTCTAGAAAAAGTAATCATAGCTGAATATTTCTACCCCAAAATGCTGAAAGAGTTTTGTTCCAAATTGTCAGCTTTAGAAATGAATCAGTTTAATAAATGTAGAAACACTTATAATTTAGAAGTAAACACTCAAATTTGAATAACAGCATTACAGGGAACTCTTTAAGATCATAACTTAGAAATTAGTTTTTTTACTATATGTTTGAAGTGCCTTATTTCAGTTATAATTTGTTAAACTGTTAAAAAAATTTAATGTCTTCAAGTGAGGTAAAATTTGTTGCTGCTTTGTTTGCTTTTTATTAAAGAATTTGAATTCCAAAGCAAACTCCAGAAGTTAAAACTAATTTGAGAGTCCTACAGTCAGTTCATTTTATTTATAAATTTCAATTAAGATTATAATATAAATTATAATGTAAACTATGATAGGCAATTAAGTTGGACAGAAATTATTATACACTCAGAGAAGGACTGTGCTCTCAAGGAAGTCAACCAAAAAACAAACAAATAAACAAACAAACACAAAGCCATCAGCATTGTGCCTCGAGGCACATCTGAAGAAAACCAGATAAAGATGCAATGGCTAGACCTACAAGCCTCCTATAAGGATAAACAGTAACTTGGAATTAAACTATAATCACCCAGGAAGTCCAGATGAGCGTCAGTTGCCCAGGTGGATGACCAAAGCATTCAAACCCATTCCTTCCCTAAAATGCCTTTGTGCTTTCCATGCACCCTTGCTGTAATGACTCAGTTCCCTATTGAACCAATATTAATTAAGCAGCTACATCTGTAAACCTGTAGGTTGACTGTAGTTTGACCCACATTGTACCCAACTGTGCCTTTGCTGTATAAATTACCCCTAACAAAGGACCTCAGTGATAACCCACTTTTGGGACTCCCTCCTATCTCTCAAGAGCTCTTCCTCAATAAATCTTTCCTATTCTTGACCTATTCTTGTTACTTATGAGTTATTCTTTGGTTTGGGGGGACATGAACTCAGCACATCTAGAAAATTGGGAGTTATAATTCTTCTATATAAAAAATACACAAACATACTACTAAATTTGCACAACATATACTCTATGATAATATGTTCTTTATATATCTTATTTTAGTTTCTGTGCAATTTAGTCAACTTTTTAAAAATTTGTTAAGCTTCTTGGCACATTTTAGGTATACATCATGCTGACATTCATCACTGGGAATTTGTACCTTTACACGATATGTCTTGGTTCTCATATTCTTCCCCATTCCCCTGCCCTCCTTTAAACCTTTCCACCCCTTTACAAAGACTTTGTTTCTATTTCTTCCTTTTCTCATATTTATTCCTTTCCCTTCTTTCCTTTCCCCTATCCTCTCACTTCACCTTCCCCCTTTGGAACTTTTCTTCCTATTTCACATTATCTATTACACATTTTGATGCTTGTTTACACTTTCAGTCCTGTGCTGGGTATCTTCCCAAAATAATTAAAGGAATAATACCATAGTAATATATGTGCACCCATGTTTCTAGCCAATATTTATGTAAGTAAAAAATAACAACTTTGGGAGTCTGTATTCCAAAAATGCATGCTATAAACATATGCTTAAATATCACACTGAACCCTGTTAATATGTACAATTTATAGAAATTATAACAGTACAATAATAAATGTATAATTTATGTAAACATCTTAAAGATATATTTTCACTGAATAGCTAAATGTGACATTAATATTGCTACATTCCTATGAAAATTGAATTTGAAATTTTACTGTGCCCTCTAGGAAAAAGTACCTTAAATATATAGTTTCATTCATAAAAATAATAAACCCACAAACCACAAGACAGAAGAGTTTTCATTCAACAAAAAAATAAACTGTCAGTCTAAGGTTGGGTATATACCTATTTGTACAGTGTTCACCTAGCATTCTAGAGGCCCTGGGTTCAAACTACAATGATATTGAAAAAAAAAAAGAAGTCAGTCTAGTCCAACAACAAAAACATGAAAATTACATTGTCTTCTCTTAGGTGAGTAGATTACCCAGACATTAGCATGCCTGAGGGACAACGAGGATTCAAAATAGTATGTTTTGCCAGGTACAGTTAAATGAAGAAATAAACAACTCAGTGTATAATACATTTATAATCATTTATTAGGCCTCAGACTCCAATACACAAAGCTTCTATTTCCAGAAAAGACTTACAACATTCCTAGCTGTCAAAGACTACAGAGCAGTGATACCAGAAAGGAGGTTTCTTAAAAATCTTCCCATCTTGGACTGAGACCTTTTTTCCTAAGTTCCTTTACATTGGGGTGCAGGAATGGGGTGAGGTATTCACTGATTGAACATAACAAGGAAGGCATTCCACAATTCCAGATTAACCTGTAAAAAATGTCCACAGCATCACAGTTACCATAGTTACAAGTCTTAAATGTATCAAAAGAGGCTCAAAGTACTTGATAGGGATATCTGCATGGCACTGCCTGGCTTAGTGCTTGAAAACAGACACCTTTATAAATCTGCTTTACAATAAATTCTACCTGTACTCTGCAAGGCCCCTTATGTGCCTTACCTTAATTTCTCCCATGAAAATGCAAATGGCCTGAGGAACAAGGGCCAGTTCCTCAAGTGTCCAGTCTGGCTTGCTGGTGTCATTTTTCCAAGGTCAGTTACTAAAGACAAACATGTTTTTTCAGTTACACATCAAGAAATCATTAAGATACTTATCACAAAATTTTTTTTCCAGTACTGGAGATTGAATCTAGGGCCTTCTTGATTTGAGATAGAATTTCATTAAATTTCTAAATTGACCTGGCAAAGCTCAAACTTGGAATTCTGCTTCTGATTCCAAGAGTGGTGGTACTGTGGGCATGAACCATCATCATACATGAAAACAAATAATTTATTTTTGTGCACTCCAAGAAAACAGGTCTGGCACTAAGGAAACATTAAAGTTATTTAGAAACACGTAGCCGAATCAATCAGAATGGAGTGAATTACTATTAGCTCAACAATGATATTGTGTTAATGGTACAATTAACATCCAAGCTCTTCTGTAGGCAAACTTTAGGTCTGTCTTTGCTTTTATCATCTTTGGGGCTTTCTTTACTCTCTCCACAATTCATATATCAGAGTCAACAGCATATTTACATAAAGGGGCATTGATTCCAAGAATAAACACAAAGCTTTTGGCAATGAAATCCAAGTGGTTTTTAGCTACTTAGAAGAAACTAAGCAGTTGTAAACTTCGATTTCTAGATCTCAATCAATGGTCTACTCCTTATGGTTTTCAATCACATGGAGAATTACGTATACTGCACATTCAAAAAATTCTTCTTTCAAATGTATTTTACTCTTTAAAGATGATGGGGGATGTCTTTTCCTACCGTAATTACTAATCTGTTATCTGAATTAAACATGCCAGCCCCCTTTGACAGTTTTACTTTGTTTCTAAAAGTTTCACTGAGAAAAATCTGTAGATTTAAGAGAAAATTGTCAATTTAGAAATAAATGGTTTAAGTGATATTAACATTAACAAGCCAAGTTGGCATGTTGAATGAGTGAGGAATTCTGCAGATAATGTTGCTAAATGCTTTGACTTATGTAAAAATTGTGTTTGTGTTTGGGTACCTTCAAATTCCACAGGTTCTAAACTAGCCTTCCCCTAGTATCAGCATGGTGTGTGCCTTTAATTCACACCACATCAGTAAGTATAATAGTCCCTTAAAACTATAAAGTGTAAAACATCTCAACTGAAAGAAATTACATTTTACCTCAAAGAAAAATTTCTCAGGTAATACTAGGTTGATGCTGTTGATACAGTGTTCCGGAAGAATCTTGCCCCAGGGAATGTTCCCTTTAGATGAAGATGACCGCCTCAGGGACATTTGAGAATATCAGATGCTGCCAAGGGCATCTAGAAATCCTTACCAGGAGACCAGGAGGCTGCCTATCATTTTATGCTATACTGTAGGCCATGAAACGCCTATAAATATTCCCTGATCTTCCAAAACTGATTCTTTAGCAGATGCTAATAACGAGAGCCAAGGTAATTAGCAAGTTCTTATTTCAGAGTATCCTGTCTACAATACCCTATGTAAATATTTTGAAAGTCACAAGTAGACTGGTGATAGAAAAGTAAAAATGAGCTATGATTAAGGAACTATAAATTACTATATTTAGGACATCTATCTAGTGAGTATTTTACTACATTCAGGAATACAATGCTCAGTAATGTTGAATACATCTGGAGAAAATTGTTGCTGCACTGTTGCTTCCTCTCCTTCTTTTGTTCTTGCTAAATGGGTTTTCTTTATATTAAGAATCAAAAATTTAGAGAATTATCTGGTAAACTCAATTCAAAAGCTTACAATTAATTAAAAGAATTGTTATAAATTTTATCAAAGAATATCCCATATAACTGTTTTTCATATAAACACTTAGTATAAAAACTGAGAAATAAATTAACCCAGTAATGCTTAGCATTAGTAAAAATAAAATACAAACATCATTTAATTTTAACTCGTTCTATATTTGAGTATCAATTAATTTTCCTCTTTTGTCACAAAATTCCAAAATAGAGAATATAAAATAGAGAATCATATTCAATGATTAAGATGTTTAGTAGCTGCTTAAAATTTAAGTCAGAGAGGTTTTCAATATATATTCACATGACAAAAGTATTTTAGAAACAATATATTTCAAATAATCATATTAATATTTAATGTTCTTAAAAAACATTATACCACCTTTTGACATGTCACAAGGTAAACTAAGTTACCTACTCTGGGTAGAAATTGGTAAGCTTTTTCAGGACTCATTTAACACTGATAACTTAGATTGCATGTGTGTTGCTTGATTATATGTTATAATTTATGAATTAGAATCTCAATGAAGCAAAAAATTCTATTTTTCTTTCTCATTTTTACTTATTTTGAAAATGTGGATGGAGGGAGAATCAAAGTCTCTTTAACAACAAAAACCTAAAAGCCCATAACTATAGTAATTGGAAGTTAGGTACAGTTGTGCCTACCAGTGCCCCAAAATGGTATAAGTCAAACAACTACATGTACATATTAGCATTCCTTTTTATAGCCATTCTTGCTAACTTAAGATATTCATAACTGCACTATGGTAACAAAATAGTCACGGATAAAAATGCCAATAATATACTCATATAAATGTGGTGTCCCTGTAGGGATAAATATCTTCAAACAGTATGTGATGTGCAATTACTAAATTTTGTAAGACTAATGAAGGAAAACCTACCAGACGTATTCTCTCATAACCTCAAGATGAACTTGTCAAATTAAAGAAAGATCATTGTGGTTCTGTATACAAGACAATAAATTTTCATTCCAAATCTTTTCAGATAAAAAAATAGGAACAATTCAGCTATTTAAATGATCTAAGGATAACATTTAAAAATTTGGAAGCCTGTTTGAGTTTCCTACAGTAAATCACTCAAAGCAGTCAATTATATGTAAGGAAACAAACAAATATGATTTTTAGAGAATGAAGCTCAAATATCATTAATCTTGAGTAGGTTCATTAAGTTTGTTGAGACTCATTGTCTTCCTTTACACAAGAGGATTAATTATGTCTACTTTTTAAGTGGATAAAAGATTTTACTGAAACGAAAAAAAAATCAAATTAATGGGGAAAGAACTTCAATGGACGTTTCTCCAGAGATGATATATAAATGGCTAACAAGCATAGGACAGAGTGCTAGACATTACTAATGAATAGGAAAACATAAATCAAAATCACAATGCTTCATCACTGCATAAAACAGTAAAATGGCTTGATCACAAAAGCAGAAAATAAGGTGGAGAAACTGGAACCTAGCTTACAATTGCTGAGAATGTGAAACGGTGCGACCACTATGGAAAAGACACAATTCCTAAAAAGAACTGAAGGTAGAATTACTATGAAATCCAGAGTTTCCACTTCCAGTATATATTCAAAAAGAATTGAAAATGGGATCATTCAGTATTTATTAGACACAGCAGCCAAGAGGCAGAAGTAACCCAAGTATCTATCAATCAATGATTGGAAAATTGTAGTATATACATAACAGTAGAATAAAATCTCATCTTTAAAAAGAAGGAAATCCTGTCACATGCCACAGCATGGATGAACCTTGAGTACCTTCTACTAAGGGAAATAAACTGATTAGAAAACACATATACGGCATTATTCCATTCTTATGGGATATCTAAAGCTAAATCCATACAAACATAAAGTAGAATGGTGATTTCCAGGGTCTGGAAGGAAGGTGAAATATATATTGCTTACCATATAATAGACACTCCAAATGGTATTTTATAGGCCAAAAGGCCCTGTGATTAAAGAGAAGGACTCTAGAGCCCAAATACCACTCTGCAGGGTTTCCCAACTTAAAACAGTTCAATTACAAACTTTCAACCTTATGAGGAATTGAAAGCAAAACCCAGTCAGGAGAAACTGTACTTAGAATTTGATCTTCTCCTAGGCTAGCAGTATGACACTTTCTATCATGCTGGGCAGCAGGAACAGCTGCAGTGACACAGTCACAAGGGAAACAACTAACACTCTGCACCACACGAGCTTGCTATACTGAGAAGTTTTGCAGAGTAAGTGGAATGAACACATTTTTGACTCAGGGTATTTTTGACTCATGATGGGTTTATCGTGATGGAATCTGAGCACTGGTCAGAAAGCATATGTATTAGAGAGTGTTCTGACTACTACCGCGTGGCCTTGGGCCTCAGTTTCCTACCTACAGAGTGGATTAATAATCACACATTCCTTACAGGGCCATTACTAATTAATGCATTTTAAAAAGTATAATACTACTGTCTTGTAATATGCTCTATTAAAGTGGTTGCTACCTTATTATAAATTTCCACTCAAGACTGTTATTAATTAATATTTTACCTCATTTGAAAAGTTTATTGCCATTATCTTTTATAGTCACTGTGAATAAAACTTTGAATACCAATTTATATTTAAAACACAGATAATCTATGCATTAATTTATTTGAAACTTGTCGGATTACATTAACAATCATTAAATGATTTAAATATTCTAACCATTTCCAATTATACTTTCCAATAAAGTGGTATTTACTTAATAAATTGACCCTCTACTCTCTACCATCTTCATTTTTATCATTTTATTTATAGTTATATATTTATAATTATGCATATATATATTTTAAACCAATTTAAAGATTTTTATATTGACATAATTACCGCCATTAGCTACTTTTCAGAAAATAAAACAAGTAGAGGCCAGCCATTATAAAAAAATAACCTGGAAAGGTTAAAATGTAATTTGTATTACTCTGTGTATTCAAAAATATAGGTAATTGTGGCATATTATTGCTCAGATACTGTAATAATTAGCTTAAAATAGGCAAATCAGCATGCTGATAATTCTGAAAATCCGCACTGAAAAGAATGTTATATAAAAGGACACAGTAAACATACCTGCCCCTTGCTGCTTAACCATGTATACAAAATACCAACACACATTATAATTTATTTTCTAAATTATCTTAATATTAAAACCCAACACCAAATGCAAAAATGTAACAAAGTAATATGATTACAGATTGGGGTCACTGCAAGGTGCCTAGATTTTTTTCATGTTGAAATAGTATATATAACATATCATTTTTCTAATGTT